GAATAATAGAGCTTTACTCGGCTAGCTCATATGATAAACATAGATACAGAGTATACTGATTGTATATCTACTTGATCCATATAAATAATATGCCCAAGTTTTTATTGTAGGAAATGTAGGTTAACGCTCTTCTTCTTGTTCTCAAAAAAAAATGAAATCTCTGGTCGCTTTCGATCAACTATTAATCCATTTTTGACATGATTATATGACTATATGTCAGCCAAATTATGAAAATAGCATAGGATGAACCGGTTGAACTTTGACCCAACGAGAACTGAGCTCTCTATGTAGACCTCTCAGATATCACCTATAAGAGACATCTTTCTTTTGTAGAGACATCTCAGATATCACCTATAAGAGACATCTTTCTTCTGTGTAAACTCTTTCTCCTCTACATGGAAATCTCTCTTCCGACCAGGTCCCTATAGAAATCGATTGTACTTGATCTTGACCGAGCAAGACATCGGATATCCCCAACTGTGCCCCACACATGGCTCGACCATAAGGTACTCAATTTTTTCTGCTTGAAAACAGAGTATGCCGCATTGCAAATAAATTATATTTTTCCCCCATATTTTTTCCATTTTTTTTTTTTTTAACTCACCTCAAATGAAAACTGCAGTCGAACTTCCGGCACGATAAAGATAAAGAAAACAAACAACAAATAAACCGAAAAGAAACAAAAAACTTGTTGAAAACTAAATAGTTATTTGTTGCTGTCGTTGGCCTGGTTTTTTTTCTTTTTTTTTCTTTTTTTGGAAAAATTTCACACGATTTTCAAAATGCAAATTGCGTTTATGTCTTTTGAGGCCAGCGACAATAGCGCACCAAAGACGAGACAAACAAAGTACAAAAATATGTTAAGTTAAATAAAAAAAAAAAAAAATGAAAAAAAAAATAGGAAAAGAAAGAAAATTAACACTTTATGCGGGTGTCGAGATAGTTGAAACCGAGCAACGATCGCACGTAACCGAAATGAATGCGCAATGAGCAGGTGGGTCGCCTTTTATAGGTGCCTGACCGGGCCTGGTTGCCCCTTGTCATCTCCAACCCCCATAATACAACGGAGATACTGAGCAACCCCCAACCCAAACCGTTGCCATCCCCCATCGATCCCGCCCTCTGCCCAAACACACTCGTACAGTTGCCATCGAATCCTGGCCAGCTCATGGCCGATAAGATAACGGGGCCAACTATATATGTACTATTTGCAGCCACATGGCCAAACGTTTAATGGGGTCGCATTGCAGAGAGCCAAAAACCAGGCGATGCGTTATCTATCCCACCCAAACAGCCTGGCGCATTTATGCAAAACAATATGGCGTCTGGCATCGATCCAATCAATAGATAAACGGCAAATCAGACTCTGATAACACATCTAGAGACAGCAAAGACGACGACGACAGACCCGGAATAACCCCCGCCATCTGGAACGTTTTCGCTTCTTCTTCCATTTACAATTAATTTATAATAAGCTAAACGGCATCTGGATATGATTCCCAACATTAAATATTGTATATAGATCATATGATGTCTACCTATATCTATAAACTGCAGTTTTACAATATATTCATAAGCATATCTTAATTTGGATACACGAAATATATATATTTCATTCTGTTTTATCGAAATTTCGTAATACTTATTCCAACTAATAAAAAAACTTAATTTGTATACAAAATGTTTTTACTTGTTCCCAAATTTGAAGGAATATATAGATTTTTCGCAATATCTTGGTAACGTCTTGGTAACCGACCATCGAACTGGTTTTATACCTTGAAGACTTGAAGTTTGGAACATATCTTTGGATACTCTTCTTAAAACCACTGAGGTGAATCAGGAAATGCTATATGTGATATAGCAGAAGCGTTATTATTAAAAGGTCTACGACCTGGAAATTTCAAAAATATTCCTATTTAGACAAAACAGTATTAAAAATATATAGAAGATATATCTACGCCCATTAGCGCGTGGCGGAGGATGAAGAATGTAAGTTCCACAGTTTTAATGTTTTAGACAAATTTTTCGTGCATCTGAGCTACATTAATAATGTATATCTACCTCTTGGGGGCGTGGCATATAGTAAATTACTATATCTCGAGACTTGAATAGTTAAGCAAGTTCCTTCGTAAGGCGTGCCATAAGTAATTCAGATATTTGTATATACCCGATAGAGATCGGCTACAATATTTTCTATAAGTTTTTTGATTTAGTTTTTACTGATTTTAGACTGACTTTCTCTATATAAAAAAAAAATTGGAAAAAAAAATATTTATAGAATTATTGTAGCTTCACTGGAGCATAATCAAATATAATATATATAATAATAAATATATAGACTAATCCCTTGTTAATTCATGCATTATAAAATAGCGTAATTAAAATGGAAATCAAAAAAAGTTCTCAAACGTGATGCATATAAAATGTATTCCAGAATATTTCTTAAATGTAAAAAGGCTTTACTAAATATAAACTATGATTTTTTAAATGCAACTTTAATATACAAATATATTCTTGAATACATCTGAAATATATCTTAAATATTTCAAAAATCTGAAAATACATCTTAATATGTATTGTCACATGTATGAAATATGTTCAAAATATACTTAAGTACTGATCCCTTAACGCATCCAACCATTTTGGTACAGTTGTGCACAAGCGCGATTGGCTAAGCGCTGGCATTAGAGAACAAAACAAAAGAGTAAAAATTAGAAAGGTAAAACCTAAGCCACAACCCTAAATACCATTCAGAGAGTATTTCAGTTAGGTCGCAGGTCGCTCTGGGCAGAGGGGGCGAAAGGGTTTTTGGGTTTTGGCATTATATGCGGGCAGGGTTTGATAGGCGACCTAATCAAAACTAATTCGGTAAATTAAACAAACAAGGCGGACAGATGATATATACCCCATATATAGCCAGCCTTACACTAGTAAGTATATAGGAACATATACATAAAGATATATACATATATATAAATATATTTGTATAGATATGGCATATAGCGGAGTGAAGCATAATGGGAAATCAAATAGAAATTTCCAAAACTATTCGACTTTTTCCATGGAAAGGCGAACCTTGGGGCAGGAGCGAACGTGCGAGCGTGCGAGCGGGCAGATATGGCAAGCTGGCCGGCTGCTTATCGGTGTGCGCAACATAATGTGGCAGCAGGTAAACGCTGATAAGGCCACGTTGCCAGGAGGCAAGGAGCAGGGGAGGCCGCCTCACAGCAGATAAGCCAAACGAAGGCAGCCAGGCTGTTGCCGCTCCTGAGCGGCTGCCGCTGCCGCTGCCGCTGCTGCTGCTGCCAGTGCTTATCACAATTTAAATATTAATTTAGGGATATGAGCAAGAGAGATATATTTACGTGCAGCCGACGGCAAAGCCGATGGCTTTGGCTCTGACTCTGCTCCGCTTGCTTATCGTCGCATGCAAACAGCCCAAGCAAACAGCCAACCGATATGGAGCGCAATGTTCCCAACCATACAGGCATATACGTATATATATATATATATATAGACATATGCCTAACATATGGTTTGGCATGGTCCATGAGGAGGCTATGGGTTTGTTGCACACCGGAAGCGTTGCACCAAGCAGCTGCAGTTGGCTGTCGATTCACGTAAGCGCCTGCCACGCCTACTCTTATACTCCATAAGCTTTAGGTGCTAATCAAACTGTTTTGCAGAAATTCACTTGACTCACCAGCGATTTTCTTGTGGCGCCATCAACGTCACCGCCAGCGCCAGCTTCGCTAATTTTCTGGCTGGTCTTCAGTGTTGCAAGCTGTTTGCGTAGTGTGGCAATCTGTTGAGGCAAGTGGCAAAATGTTAAATGTTTTGTGTATATGTGTAGAGGGGCAGACAGCACAGGCAAATGTGTATTGGCCGGAGTGCGCAGGAGCTGTCTGCAGGAAGTCCCACAAGTGCAGCTTCTGCAGCTTCAATGCAGGAACAACAGCAGTAGCAGCAGCAGCAGCAGCAGCAGACAATAGCTGCAGCAGCGAATGCTCTCTGCTTTGCAATGCGGCAAATGCATTAGATTGCTGCGATTGTCACAGCAGCAATCCGTATGGCCAATGGAGCTGTGTGTGTTGTCCCTGGCACTCACCTCACGATCCTTGTCTTCGCATGATTTTTCTAGCTGCTCTTTCAGCTCCTGCGTCTCGGCCAGCAGCTCGACGGCCGTTTTAGTGTTTAGGTCAGGTCCGCGGTATTCATCGTCGCCGGGTCCGGCTGTGTCGGCCAACACCTCCTGGGCCAAGTGCGTCAATTGTCCTTTGATGGTGACGAGGCTGTTGTTTAGCCACGACATGCTGCCTGCTGTCTGCGTCCTGTTAATCAACGCTCTCTGGCTCAATATCCTATATATAACTTGATCCTATATTCCTTAGATTAAAAAAATAACTAATTTATAATTTTGCGTGGCACAAGAGCTGCTTCAGCTGATTATTGTTATTGTCATCGCTGATATCGATAGCTTTGCTTACGATGTATCGTCGTGTGCCTGGCAAAATGCTAGATGCTGTGAGGCACAGATGCCAGCTTTTTAGCTTTTCTCTCGCCAAATTTGGCTAGGCTTAACAGCTTCAAAATTTAAACAAACCCAATCGAATATAAAAGGATATACATATGTCTATACATATGTGGAATATATATAGGAAGTTGCAAAGCTGTATTCAAACTCTAGTATTTATAGCAATATCCTTTGCCAAACTTTCGCGAATTCTATTTAAAAACAGACACAGACTTCTATTTGGAAAAATTCAAGTTCTTTTCCCTATAATTGCCTTTTTACTTACTTTAACTAGCTTAAGCAATAACCAATCAATATATTTAATATGCCCATATAATTCAACATTTTAGCAATTCGCCTGGCCGGCATTGGCGGCAAAACGTAGTTCCCCTCTTCTTTTTAATCAAGACATGCGTAGTGAGAGAGAGAGAGAGAGCGCCAGCTATCGAACTATCGAAACGTTATCATAATTATTCCGATAATTCTTGTTCATCACTAGTCGCGGCACTATTTACTTATATGTTATGTATATATAAACACACACATGTCAACTTAGTAAATAGAAATGAATAGAACCGTACAACCTCGGATATTAATAAGTTCCTTAAAAGTGAGTAATTCATAACTGAAACCATTTTGAGTCCCATTGATAACATTCATACCCATTGTCATTAAGCACTGGCCACGCCGTTATGCAGCTGACCAAGCACAGGCACGGCCTGAAAAACGTTCGGAGTGCATTGGTCTTACACAACCACCGGATCCGCAATCGGTGAAAACCGACTATGTTGGCCCGCCAGATCCGATATCCAATTTACGTCCATATGTGCGGCATTACGATGCGAATGAAACGGCATTGGCCAAGAAATTACGTTTGCTACGCATCGAAGTGGAAAAATGGAATATGGATTTCTGGACGAAGCACAACTCGCGGTTTTATGAGGTTTGTTATAATAGCTGAAGTTCATTCATCGTATCATTCAGCTCACGCAACGGAGAGTGAGAGAGAAAGAGAGAGAAATATCGTAAGAGAGATGTATAGTCATTACGTCTTATTCTTCTATCTCTCTCGCTCTGTGGCTCTTTCTCATTTATATTCATGTTTGTTGATTTCATTCCCTTTTATTCCAGGAAAAAGAGGACTTTATAAAACTGCACAAACTCAGTGGAACCAATGAAATTAGCTCCGATCAAATGAGTGTTTTTTATAAATCGTTTTTAGATAAAAATAGACGCATCCATATAATGTACAATATATCATGGTATTTGAAAAATTTCGATATGGTCACGTTAGCCTTTGCCGTAGAAGTGGAAAAGTTATTAAATCGACTTAGGAGAAAGACGTAGCAAACCCGCATTCAGCACAATCAACAGACAACAAAGTTTTTTTAGCGTTAAACAAATGTATATATATATATATACATCGATTTATATATATATACTTTATATATATATATATATATGAATATATATACATATATATATTTAATGACAATTCGGTGTACATACAGTATGTAAATTGTTGAAATTTAGTTAAATTGTTTCACTACAAAGAAAACAAAGTTCATGTAAATATTATATAAATAAACAAATTTCTTATAAATGTATATATGTATATGTATATATGTGCATGTATATATGCATATATATACATATAAATATATACATATACAAGTATATATATATATTTGTGTGTGTATATATGTGTATGTATATGTATATACACATATATACACACACATATATATATATATATGTATAAATTGTTAATGTTTTAAACTGTTTACATTTACTTAAGAACTAAAGATACACTTGAATTGATAAATTTATGTTAAGATATATAGAAAAGAAATTAAGTAATAAAAAATACATTCAGTTTTGGATGTACATTAAATAAATATTCTACACCATTTGGGAAGAGATTGTTTTCACTTGCTTTTTCGTTTCTTCCTTTTGTACAGTCTCTCGTAACAGCAAAAAAAAAAAAAAAAAATGTAATATAAATATTTAAAAAATAAGAGAACGAAGGCACACCCAGGTCTGCTCTTGGCGTTTACAGGATTTGGGTAGAGAATGTACATATATATAAGTTTTTATATATATGTATATATACATATATAGAGAGATATATTATATACGAATCATCGAGTAACATAAAATACATGCTTAAAATTTTCAACTACAAATATTTTATGCGCGAAATTTTTATATTTGTTTTTGTTTTTTTTTTTTTAATTTTTCTTTTCGTTTTTTGTTTGTGGTTTTTGTTTTTGTTGTTTTTTCTCTCTTTTGTTTAGATAATTATACTACAAAACACTTTTGGCTTATGAGCAATAGGATACAAATTAGCTACAATATGCTCGAGAGGCGCATTCATGGTCACATATACATATATATATACGTTTATATAAATACATGTGCGGATACTTGCATGCATAATAAATATATGTACATATATACTGCTTACAGAATATACTATTTCTGATGATGTGTGTGTTGGTTGGTGCACAACATGTGCTTAGTAACAACAAATCAAATCATATCAAATTGCGTTCACTGGGTGACTCCATTTGCTGCTGTTGCTGTGCGGGCTTCATTTAGTTGCAGGTGCTGCAGGTGCTGGTGCTGCTGTTGCTGTTAATGTTGTTGTTGTTGTTGTTGTTGCTTATGCTTTCTTTACTGGTATTTAATTCATCCACTTGCGACAATTGGGCGCACCACAAGCGCAGGGTATTTTATGTGCATCATCCTCAATATCAAACTTGTAATCATACGAGAGCTAAGCAATAAAAAATTAAATAAATATTTGTGAATATTTCCAATTCAATTTCAATAATTCAATGTGAGAGCTCACCTCTTCGCCTCGATAGATCTTGCGCTTAGCGAATATTATGATGCGCACATCACGATCGACCTCAACGATCTCGGTCACACAATTGGGATTGCAGGAGTGATTGATATAGCGCGCTAGGCCGCCGCTCAATGTGGCATCGACAACGCGATCCTCATCCAGGCGGAACATATAAATACCACGATTCTGTTGGCAAATAAACATCATATTAATATATAAAACTCTAAAGAGAGAGAAAGGGGGGAGAGGGCTCACCTTTGACTCGTATTGCTTCTCACGTATCTCCGAGACTTCAGTGCGTATTACCTCGCCAATGTACTCAATGATCATCGTGTGCTTCTCGATGTCGCGTGCCGCATACAAGCCCAGGCCCTGGATCTTCGAGCTGTTTATACAAGAGAGAGAGAGAGAGAGAGAGAGAGGGAAAATATTATATGTCATTTATATGTGTATATATAGCCCGGGAGGTATGTAGCTTACCGTGCCAGGTAGACATTGTTGCGCCATTCCTGCTTCATCTTTTTGTACTGCGAACTCTTGGAGTGCACAAACTGTTTGCTGTACGGGCACGCCACCTCGCCCGCAATCGCCGCCGAGTTGGCCATGCGCTGGGTGCTGCAGCTGCCGGCGGTGCGTTGGGTGTGCGGCTTGCGCCAGACGAGCAGCTGGCGCTGCTTGGGCTCGGTGCGTGCCGCACCGGACGGATTGATGGCCAGCGGGAATTCCAGCAACGGATTGCGTCCGTATTTGAAGCGATAATCGGTGAGCGTCTCAATGCCGGGCAAACTCTCCAGGATGCGCACAATGGCCGGCTCGGTCAGGCCAAACAGATCCTCGCCGCTAATGTGCTGCGGGAAGAGCTGCAGCCACTTGTGCTCCTTGCGCAGGCGCTGTATGGGCTGCAGGATCTGCTGCCAGACGGCCGACGGTGTGCTGTCCCGGAACTCACGTTCCGGCTCCTTGTCGTTGCCGTCATGCACCTGGATGCGAAACTCGGGCCGGCAGCCGACCTCGGCAATGGTGCAGACATAACGACAGCGACGATTCGGCCGGCGCACGCACCAATAATAGCGACTCTAAGGGATTCACAAGAGAAAGGAATAAGATGAGATTCGCGGCTGGCGATTGGCAAGAGCTGAGAATATACTGACCACCGTGTAGCCAATGGGATATATGTAGTGGGGCGTATGGAAGGCCTCCAGCTGATGCGGCAGCAGCTGGCCCACATTGAGGAAGGTCATGTTGCCGACCCGCAACAGATTGCTCAGCTCCGAGTAGTGCATGACCGTGGCCACCTGACGGTTCTCGTCACGATTGACAAACACCCGGCGATGCACCACAAACGAGCTGAGCTCGTTCTCAGTGACGCCCGCCGAGCTATTGGCCGCATGGGCGCTGCAGTGCACCGACTTGTTCTTGTAGAAGATGCACTCCTCCTTGATCGCGCACGGCAGGTGATAGAGATTGCTGCAGCGCGACTTGAAGCACTTGATGGTGGCGCCCAGCTGATGGCAGGCGCTGCACGCCTGATTCAACCCCGACTGCAGGGCCATCGGAAAGTTCATCAATGCGCCCGAGACGGTCTCATAGACATCATTGGACCACAGAGCACAATTCAAATGGACCTGCGTATAGGAATGGCACATGGATATTAGATTCAGTTGCTCGCTTTTGCTGGCTAGCGCCACAAACTCACCCATTTATCCACATCGAAGTTGAGCAGGCGCGAGGGTCCATCGGCTTTGCCATCGCCGCGCTGATTGCAGAAGACGCACTGGCGCAGATCCTCCAGCGTGTCCGGATTGAAGTCTGTCTCCCAGACGGTGTTATTGGGCGCAGCCGCTTCGTTCTCCTGCTTGATGGCTGCAGAGTCAGGCGAGGCTGCGAAGCAGTCGGCGCTGTAGTACTTGATGATGCACTTGCGCTTCACGGGCGGCGGCGTTGGCTCCGATTCACTCTTTAACTGCTGCTGTTGCTGTTGCTGCGACTGTTGCTGCTGCGACTGCGACTGTTGCTGTTGCTCCATATCGACATCTTCGGGCTCCACCTTATCGATGGGCAGCATGGTCATGAATGTATCACCCGCTGCCGACGGCGCAGTTGAAGCAGGTGTTGCGCCTGCCGCTGCACCCGCTCCCGCAGCCGTTCCCCCTGCTGTAGCTGCAGCTGTCGCTGACGCTGTCGTCGCTTCCTCCTCCGCCGGCTCCTCCTTGCCGCGCCACTTGTACTGCGCATAGCAACTGCGATTGCAGAAGTAGGCGTACGGCGGCGGCGGGGATTTGCGCGGCAGCAGCGAGCGCAGCATTGCCAGCGTGGGCGACGGCTGCTCCTCGGGCAGATTCTGGTACGGCACACGCAGCCCGAAGGCGGCAATGATGCTGCCGCAGCCCCGGCACAGTTTACGCTGCCCGGTGAGTATTTTGCGTAGATTGCCCTGACTAGTGTGAGTGGCAGTGGCGGCAGATTGAGCCACGCCCTGGCCCGGCTCCGGCTCGCTCGGCTCCTTGGCCTTGTCCGCGGCGGTGGCATCGATCAGTTTGCAGGTTAAGGCGGGCGTCAGGTGCAACAGATTGGCCAAGTCCCGCAGCACGCCGGCAATGTTGTCCGTTGCCGAGCTGTGCAGCGAGAGTATCACATTTTGGTTCTTCTGCTGGTAGTTGTTGTTGTTGTTGTTGATGCTATTGCTGCAACTGCTGCCGGTGCCGGTGCTGTTGCTGTTGCTGTTGTTGCTGCTGTTGTTATGGCCGCTGCTATTGTGGCCCACGCCCATGCCCAGTTCCAGCTGCTGCGCCTTGCGTAACTCCTCGGCACAGTTGCGCAAAATCGGCGACACTGGCGTCCGCATCGTCGTCGCATCCATGGCCAGAGCCACCGGCGACATGCGGCCGGGAGCACAGCGCTGATTGCTGTTGGTGTTGAGCAGCACCAGGCCCGGATAGCGGCTGATGCGCGACCAGGCCACCGGACCATCCAGGCGATTGGCAGGAGTCGGATGCTGGTGCTGCGGCGGATGTTGTTGCTGCTGCTCAATGAGATCCGTCGTCTCCAGATTGCAATCGCGCACGGCGGCCATCAAGCGCTGCAGTCGCTCGCGCGGATTGCGCTGAATGTGCGTCGAGAACTCCTGATCGTAAAAATCGTTCTGTATGCTCGACATGGAACCAGAATTCAGACTGTTGCTGCTGCCGCTGTTGCCATTGCTGCTGCCCGTCGAGCTGTCGCCGCTGCCGCCGAAGCGTTCGCTGTCGTACAACGACTTGATGCTCGGGTGTCTCAGATATCCGATGCGGCCGAGCAACTGATCGCAGTCGACGCTGCCGCCATCGTCCAGCTGGCGCTGCAGCTGCAGAGCACGCGATATGGCCTTCAGCTTGCCGCCGCCGGCGCCGCTGCCGCCGTTGTGGCTGCCGTTGTTGCCGAAGCAGGGCCCGCGGCCGATGAGGAAATTTCGATTGAGCAGCGGTTCGAGCACCTGCAGCGGCTGCATCTGTCGGATGTGCGTCATCAGCTTCTCGGTAAATGCATCGTGATCCTCCTCCACCTTGGACAGCTTGCGCACGCGCTTCTTCAGCATGGGTGAGCTCATGCCGGAGCCGCTGCCCGTCAGTAAATGCCCCCCGCTTCCACCAACGCCGCCGCCAACTCCTCCTCCAGCGGTGCCAGTGCCACTGCCACCGCCGGCTCCGCCGCTGGCCATCGGCCCGCCCAGTTGCACATTGCCCGGCATATCGGTCAGCTGCACCACAGCGCCGGCTGGCAACGTGCCGGGCATGTCGCGAAGGTTGCTACTGGCAGCAGCAGCGGCCGCCGCCGCCGCAGCAGCAGCAGCAGCAGCGGCTGCAGGGCCAGCAGCGGTATTCGCATTGGTGCGCCGAGGTCTCTGAGCCTCGCGCTTTCGTCGCTTACGCTGCTCCCCGGCCTTGGGCTCAGCCAGAGCTGTGATTGTTGTTGCTGCTGATGCGGATGCTGGCGGTTGCTGTTGCTGTTGTTGTGGCAGCATTTGTTGCTGATGTAGCAGCTGATGTTGTTGATGTTGCTGCTGCTGTTGCTGTTGTTGCTGCTGCTGTTGCAGCAGCTGTTGCTGCTGCTGTTGGTGTTGTTGCTGTGGCTGCTGCTGTTGCTGCTGTGGCTGTTGTTGTTGGTGTATTAGCTGCTGCTGCTGCAAATGCATTTGCAACTGTTGATGTTGCTGTTGCTGTTGCTGCTGCTGTTGCTGTTGCTGTTGCTGCTGTAACTGCATTTGCAGCTGCTGCTGTTGGTGCTGTTGCTGCTGTTGATGCTGCAGTTGCTGCTGCTTCTCATATGCGACTGTTGGCGCTGCTATGCGCGCCTTTATCAGCTCATGATCCACGTTGTTGCTATGCCCCAAAGCGATTTCGCTCTTTGCCTCCTTTTCGTCAACCTGTTGCTGCAATTGCTGTTGCTGCAATTGCTGCTGCTGCTGTTGTAACTGCTGTTGTTGTTGCAACTGCTGCTGTTGCTGCTGCTGTTGTAGCTGCTGTTGTTGTTGTAGCTGCTGTTGCTGCTGCTGTTGTAGCTGATGCTGCTGCTGTTGTAGCTGCTGTTGTTGTTGTAACTGCTGCTGCTGTTGTAGCTGCTGTTGCTGTTGTAACTGCTGCTGCTGCACCGGCAACTTTCGCTTGATCGCCTCGCTATTGATCAGATTCACATTTGGCGGCTTCTCCTGCAGCTTCCAGCTGTCGCCCGATAGATGCTGCTGTTGCTGTTGCTGCTGCTGCTGCTTCTCCGGCTCCGTGTCGTCCTGCGTCTCCAGCTTGTTCAGCTTGTGCAGCTCCTTGCTGGGCTTCGTGGTGATGGAAATGGTCACATTCGAGACGTGCCCTGTGCTCAGCTCGTACGGCGGCGGCGGCGGCAGTGGCTCCGTCTTGTTGCTGCTCGGCTCCACAAGCAGCGCGGGCAGCTTATTGGTCACGGCGGGCAGGGCAGAGGGCGCAACTGTTGCAACTGTGCCAGCAGCGGTCGCAGCAGCTGCAGCAGCAGCAGCAGCGGCGGCGGCGGCTGCAGCTGAGGCAGCGGAGGCAGAAACGGGTGTGGATATGAAGGATGTCTCCTTGGATACAATTTGCACCGATTGCTTGAGCTGTGGCGCTGGCGGTGCAACAGCCACTGTTGCTGCTGCTGCAATGGGCGGCGCTGTCACTGTTGTTGCTGTAGCAGCGGTTGTTGTTGTTGTTGCTGCTGCTGCTGTCACAGCTGTGCTTGCTGCTGCTGGTGTTGCAGACTCCTGCTGCTGCTGCTGCTGCTGCTCGACAGCTGGCGTGGGTGTGGGTGTCGGTGTGGCTGTGGCTGTGGGCATAGGCGTGGCCGATGCCGCCTGACTAATTGCCACCATTGTTGCAGTTGTTGTGGTAATAGTATTACAGCTGCCGCTGCCGCTCGTGTTACTGCTGCTGCTCACTGCTGCCGGCACAGGCGGTATAACGGGCCGTGCCAGCTGCGCCTCCAGCGAACTGACCAGACCCATGCTCGGCGCTCGCACATTGATGACCTTACGCGCCGACAGCGGCGCCGATGTAATCGATATCTGTTGCAGCGTATTGTGGCTGCTGTTGTTGTTGCTGCTGCTATTGTTGTTGTTGGTGTTGCTGCTATTGCTGCTGCTATTGCTACTGCTACTGCTGCTGCTGTTCTGCAGCAATTGCTTGAGCAGCGCATTATTGGAATCATCCACACGCGTGTGCAACGTGATGCGTTTCTCGGTGGTGCTGCCCAATTGCTGCTGCTGCTGCTGCTGCTGCTGCGGTTGCTGCTGCTGTTGTTGTTGTTGCTGCTGCTGTTGTTGTTGTTGCTGCTGCATCTGCTGTTGTTGCTGTTGCTGCTGCAGCTGCTGTTGTTGTTGTTGTTGCTGCTGCTGCTGCTGCTGTTGTTGCTGCTGCTGTTGCTGCTGTTGCTGCTGTTGTTGCTGCTGCTGTTGTTGCTGCTGCTGTTGTTGCTGCTGCTGCTGTTGTTGCTGTTGCTGCTGCTCCTCCTGTTGCTGTTCAGCTGGCAACTCCTTGTGGCTATCAACCGGCACCGACGCCTGCTTAACCAGCAACAGCTTCGGCTTCGCTTCACCGTCAACAGCATCGGCCTTTGCCTCGGCCAGCTTCACCGTCTGCGCCTTCAGCTGCAGCTTGCCCACCGTCTCGGCGTCCAGCGTGCTGAAGGGCTGCATTTGCAGGGTGGCACCGCTGTTCGCCGATGTGGTGATCATCTTGGACTTCTGCTGGCCCATCGCCGTCTTGGACACCACCAGCGAGATGTTCTTCTGTATGGAGATGATGGGCCGTGCGCAGAGCGTGGCGCCGGTCGTTGGCTTCGGCAGTGCCTCATCCCCGCCAGCAGCGGCGCCCTGCTGCTGCTGTTGCTGTGGCGCCTGCTGCTTAAATATGTTGATGCTGGGCGTGCAGTGCAGCTGGCTCTTGTCCAGCTGCTTGATGACAACGCCACCATCCATGGACTTGCTCTTGTTCAGCAAGATCTTCTGTATGTTCTCGCTGTAGGTAATCGTCTTCGGCTGTTGCTGGTCGTGTGCTTCGCCATCGTGTTGCTGCTTGTCCTGCTGCTGCTGCTGCTGCAGCATGGTAAATGTTTGCCCCGAATTCGTTGGGGTTATCGTCACAATGCTGCCGGTGCCGGGCTGCTGTTGCTGTTGCTGCTGGAACTGCAGCGACATCTTCTTGCTGACCACCTTGGCGGTGACGATTTTGGTATTGGCGGGCTTGATCTGTACATTGGCAAAGGAGACGATTGTGGTGGGGTTCTTGCGCGACTTGACCAGCTTCAGGTTTAGTTGTTGTTGCTGCTGGGCATGTTGGGCATGGGCATGTTGCTGGAGCTGCTGCGCCTGCTGGGCTGTCACCGTTGCCGTCGTCACCGTCGTGCCCGGCTGCTTGCTCTCCACAATGGTGGCGCCGCCCGCCGTTGTCGCACCGCTCGCACTCATAAACTGGCCGCCCTGCAGAATCTGGGGCTTGACCAGCGGCACCGATATCATCTTGTTGCCAATGGACACCTTGGCCGTTGTCTGCGTGCCCTCGGCCAGCTTCTTGGCATTCACCATCACCTGTTGGCCCTTGTACTTGGTCTGGAAGCTGACGCGATTGAGCAGCGTTGTTGTTGCCGTCGCCGTCGCTGTGCCAGCGCCCGTTACGGTGCCGCTGTTGAACATGTTGTAGCTGCCCGGCTGCAGCTGAGCGGACGTTGTTAGCTTTGTGGCAATGATGCTGCTGCTGCCAATACTATTGCTGCTGTTGCTGGCAATGCTATTGCTGGTGGTGGTGATGGTGCTGCTGCTGCTGCTGCTGCTGGCACTGCTGGCAGTGGCATTGTTGTTGGTCACTGTTGCTTCATGTTGCTGCGTTGCCGCTGGCTTCAGCTCAGCCGTAGTCGTCGCTGGCAACAGCACATAGTCCAGCTCCTGAATGGTCACCGTCTTGCCCAGCTGTGGTGGCGGCTGAGACTGCGACTGTGGCTGCGGCTGCTCATTGCTGTTGCTCGGCGTCGGCTCAGCACTCGACTCAATGGATATAATGGAGGCTGTGGAGGAGGATGAGGAAATTGATGCTGTTGTGACATCTTTTTTGGTAAAGCTGGCATAAGCTGCAATACGAAATATAAGTTTAATATAATTATAGCACAGATTTTTCATATACTCAAACTCACTTTGCTTTGGGTTGTTGCTATTGCTGTTGCTGCTGCTGGCGTTGCTGTTGTTGATGATGGTGGCGTTGGTGGTGTTCGTGTTGGTGCTGGACGACTCCTCTGGCTTGATGGTGTTCATTTCACAGACTATTATTTGATCATCCCGCTGCTCCCAACAGACGTCACCTGAAGATGCTGCAGCAGCAGCGGCAGCGGCAGCTTCTGACTTGGTATTCGCGTGACTAACGAAATTGCCGCCAATGCTGATGTTAGCTGTTTGTGACTCGTCCGCCGTTAATTTGTTTGTGGATGATGATGATGATGCTGCTACTACCACGGCAGCTACTGCTCCTGCTGTTGCTGCTGGCGCTGTTGTTGCTGCTGTGGTTGTTGTTGCTGTTGTTGTAGCTGTAGCTGTAGCTGTAGCTGCACGTTGTTTGGCGGGTAAACTGGTTGTGGGCGTGCATATAACTATATCGCGCTTCAGTTTCTTGCGATTGGGATCATCGTTGTCGTCCACACTGCTGCGCTTCTGTATGGATATTGTATTAAAATTGAGCGCTGCCGTTGCAGATGTTACACGTTCGGGTTTCGCTTTTTCGGCGGCAGCAGCCGCAGCAGCAAGCGATGTTGTCACTTTCGATATATTCATAACAACAAACTAAGCGGCCAAACACATTTAAACGCTAGCAATTGTTGCTTAATGCACTTGGATATGGAGTTCTATTTGTTTGTATGTACATATAGAGAATGTTTCAAAACATACACTATTTAGACAAAAAAATTATTTTTCGTGTATGCGCAGGGTATCCTAAACTTTAACCAGTGATAATATATGAAGAAAAATACCACACTTTGACAGCGTTGCATTTTTCGATAACAATATGTACACACACCCACACTTAAATACCTTGTTTCCATCAACGCAAGCAAACCCAAATTATACACCTGTACAGGTAACCTGTACGACTAGTTGGCGCATGATAACATATATTGTAATATTGGGCATTTTATTGTCACATGTATCTGAATGAAATCATTTTCCTTACTAATTTACAATATATAAACAATGTGCATATAACGCGCACCATCATAAAATTATAGATGCGATAACGAAATGTGTGTGGCAACGCTACTGCTAAAACAGTGCTGCTTTATTTACAAAAAAACAAAATTATACAAATTGTAGTTTAATATTATTTATAAGTACATACTAAAATTAAGAAAATTTGTGTAAGCAAAAATTTTATTTTTAAAACAATGACTTGTTGATTGCTTCTAGCACCACTGCTTCTAGGCTGATCAATTGTAAAAATTTGGATGGTGTTGCGTCAACAGTCTGGCAACGCTGCGCTGATGCAACCATCAACAGAATAAATTCATGGAATAACGATTATATTAAATATATAAGTTAAAAAGGAAACATGTGGTGCTTAAAAACCGTCACACAAGTCTTGAAGAACAGCATAGCATGTGAGAGAATATAGCTAATCATAACCACCAAACTGTTTTGATTCAATACCATCTAATTTACAGCTGCCAATGTGAACTACAATTGCGTAGCCGGCCTCAAATATTTCCCACCGCCAATAAAATATGAAAGTATGCCATCATAATATATACATTACTACTATTGTATCAAATTGCGGCTCGCATTGCAGATATCGAGAAGGTGGATCGACCCAAGCTGCGTATCATGGAACGCGTGCCCCAGCTGCCGCCCAATCTTCGACCACCCAAAATGCAGAAACGCCTGCGCTACATGCGTGGCCCGGAGCTCGTCCACAATCAGCTGCTCCACAAACAGTATGGAATCATTGCCACAGGTGGCGGTCGCTTGCGCTGGGGCCACTACGAAATGATGCGTCTGACCATCGGTCGCAAGATGAATGTGAACACAATGTTCGCCACATGGCGAGTGCCAGCGCCCTGGCAGCCAATTACCAAGAAGGGTCAAGGCCAACGTATGGGCGGCGGCAAGGGCGCCATCGATCATTACGTGGCCCCGATCAAGGCAGGTCGTGTCATAGTCGAAATCGCTGGCAAATGTGAATTCGTGGAATGCATGGGCTTCCTGCAGCAGGTGGCCAATCAGCTGCCATTCCAGGCCATGGTCGTCTCGCAGCAGATGCTAGATGAACAGCAAGCCAAGGAGGAGCAATTGGCACGCGAAAACCAAAATCCGTTCACATTCAAATATGTTGTACAAAATAATCTAAATGGTTGCCATCGATGGCTGTCCCCCGTGGACCACAAGTGGTTCGGCAAGCATTTGTAGATAACTCATATCGGATTAAGTTAATGTTTTAATAAAACATGAAATTGTTGTGTTGGCCTAACGAATTAATGTCTACTGAAATATCCAAGTACATTATGCGCGTCTCGCTTAGCCAGAGTCTACTGTACGTCAACAATTTGCCCGTGCTTGACTGCACACAAGCAACACAAGGGTTATCGATAGCACGTGCGCCATTCCAGTTGCCTCCAAACTGTTGGCGTTGCCATTCGGCAAAGAGAGAGAGAAGGAAATACATACATACATACAATTCCAAGTTTTTGAGTTGAAAAACGTTTTTTTGTTTTAATTTATGATTCTATTGCAAACATTCGTTTAATTTCCATTTTTTTGTTTTTTGTGTATATGGGTAATATGTAAGATTTCGTACGTTATATATGTTTGTTCTGCTTTATGTTAATATATAATGTAATGTGTGTATTTTAATTGCACGACTTTCTTAATCGCCGTCGAAATCGTCATCATCGTCGTCGTCTTCGTCTTAGTTGTCGTGTTCTTCTTCTCCTTGCATCATCCGCTTATCATGTGTGCTTAACAGTCGGTATCGTACCAGGCAGCCAAGTTATTGTTGTCATTGGGTGGCGTGGGCATGGCATCCAAATCAAAGTTCAAAGCGCCCGCATCAATCTCGCCGACATCCATATCCATGGAGTAGGGCGATGTGGGTGCCCCACCAGGCGGAGCAGGGCCACCGGCGCCACCGCCTCCGCCAGCAGCATTGCCAGCAGCGCCAGCACCACCACCTACCGGACTGCTGATCTCGAGACCTTGCATTGAATCTATTGGTAGAGTATCATATCCTGCACGAATGAGAAGTCAAATCAAAAATTAATAAAACAAATCAATCAAGTATTCATACATATGTAGTTAGCTATAAAGAAGTATATCGAATAATACGATTGAATATATAGAACATGCTTTTACTTTTACTTTTGCATGTTTATACATAGTACATATATATTTGTATATAAATATATGTTTTATTGTTCATTAAAGAAACATGCAAAATCAATGTTTAATTAACGACAACATAAACGTAATAAATCATATTTGGTAAATTGTTTAAGAACTGAAATGGCTGAGGGCGTCTCCTGCTTCAAGTCAAAATTGTGAGTTTCAGTGTGTGAGTGTGTATGTGTGTTCCTGTGCTTATGGTAAGTATGTATGTGTGTATAAATATAAACTAACTATGCTGGCTTCCCTATGAGAAATGAAATGGAATGAAACACATGAATGCATCAAAGACAACTTGATCCACTTGTTAAATGATTCCAAATAAATGCTAATGAAGTACTTCCATTCCTAGTTAAGTAAACCCCATTGAAATTATTAGCGGATAGCAGGGTTCATAACTAACTAAACAGACGCAAAGAGAAATGAAGTAAAGTTTTGATGAATTTGAATGAATGCACACACACATACACATGTATATACATATGTATGTAGCACATTTTACATGCAAATTGTCAATGGATGGCAGTGATTGACTAGGGGGAAATTGCGCTATCCATAGCGACTGTGTCTGGGGTTCTGAATGGGGTTCAGGGCACATAAATGGTAAACATGTGTCAAGCATAAGAGAGTCGAAGATTTAAGAAAAGTTCACATGATCGACATTTTGATTTGGTGGGCAGATCCTAATTAGAACTGGTTCATGTGAATTTCACTTTCGAGTTCGATGACTTTTAATCGAGTAAGGGGTGGGTGGGGAGGACAACACTCGTGTATTAATCGATAAGACATTGAAATATGTATTTATATATATGTATATAGTTATGCATAACGGTTAATCACTTATGTTTGTATATATCGATATATAAGTGCACTCAAGTTTGACCAACGACACTTGTTCAGCAATCGCTTAGACACTTATTATGTATGTATGTAATAGTTGTTAAATACTAATTGATTAATGATGATGATAACGGTTGGCTCCTTGGGGTGTGTTGGACCATGATGGGGTGTTAGTGTTTTAACTACGGTGAGGTGGGGGAAAACTTTTCGTTAATTTAGCTTTTTCGCTGTATTTTTTGTGTTTCGTTTTTCTTTTTGGGGGTATCCATTATTTGTCATCTGATGTTTTCGGCTTGAACAAATATAATGAATAGACACACACATTCAAACATAGGTTAATTGCAGTTAAATGGGGGCACGGGCAGGGGCATTGGCGGGGCCAGAGGCTGGGGCGATGGGCGGGAGGGTTAAGACTTGTGATTGATTAGTGTTGACTGTAGTAGAGATCCTTAAAGCCGTACTAGGTAGGTGGAAGCGAGCATACATACCTTGCTGATGGAATGCGCGACCTCCGTGCGAACTGTGCACACTGGGCGGACCTTGTCCGTACAGGCCCTCATATGCTTCTTCGGGTCCAAGCATATCCTGTGATCGTGATCGTGAACGTGATCGTGTTCGTGATTGTGAACGTGAACGTGATTGTGTACGTGTACGTGTTGTCAATTCGAGTGTGTGTATTGTGTGTGTGTACGAGAAGTGGGTTGGTTTGTGTGTGTGTGTGTGTATGTGTTTTTTTTTCATATATTTTTTTAAATTTTTATTTTTTGGATGGATCAGAAGTGAAAAGTTGTTAGGAAATAGAAGAGAGACACAGACACAGAACACGAGTTTTTGTGTTGCGTTTATGTGTGTGTGTGTGTGTGAGAGAGAGAGAGAGAGAGAGGAAGTGTTCGTTGTTGTTGTTGTTGTGCGTAATGCAAGTGAGATCGGTCGATGTGTTTGGTTCGATTTCGGTAATGTTTTTTTTTTTTGCACACAAACAAAACATAATGTAAGAAAAAAAGAAACGAAATAAATCAAAATTCAAATTAATTACAAAATCAAAATTTAAACGGTAATTAGTAAACATATTTAAATCAAAATAGCTAAATAATGTATAAATATTATATATATATATATAATCAGGGATGTAATTTACTTTGATCTAAACGAGGTTCAAAATGTTTTTGTTTTTTTTTTTAAATGCTTGCAATCAAATTCTACTTAAAACTAACATTAAAAATTCAATTTGAAAACAATGAATAATAATAGATATGTTGACAATTGGTTTAAAATATATATATATAAATATTATATACATAATACTGATCTGCGGCTTACAAATAGTTTATATCTAAATATGTATTGCTACAGTTGTTGTTTTTATGTACAAATTTGTGGAGTTTTTGGGGGGGTATTGAAACATAGGTATTATATTGTATAATGTATTTACAAACATTAAAATGAAAACTCAACTCCAAAGTGGAAATCGTTTAGCATAATTCGTTTAGAAATGGGACGTTACGCACCTGTAAGTCTGGACCCATGCCGAGGTCAGCGTTGGCCCAGATGTTGTTCTCCTCGCGGAGCAGCGAGTTGGTCAGCTCGATGGAGAGACGCTTCTTGTAGTCCTGCGGCTTGTCCTCGCTCATGCGGAACAGCACGGCGGCGGCGTAGGTGGCCACGCCCTCGTTGCGCGAATGCAACAGATCGGTGAGCGGCCCAGTGGCGCCCTCCTGTTCGATGATCTCGGCGCCCTCCTTATCGGCGGCCAGCTCACAGAGCACGCCAGCAGCGACGCGCTGCAAATTCACAAATATTTATATATATATATATATAGATACTTGGATACTTCATTCATCCAATATTCATTCACTCACCTGAATGTTCTCGATTTCGTTGAAGAGCAAACGCACAAAGATCGGTATGACCGACTGTTGGCGTATTAGGGCGCGATTGTGCGATTCGCGCGCCAGGATATGCAAGGCGCCCACAGTTCCCTCGACAATCTCCTCCATGCGAACGCCATCGGCGTACGCGGATGGCTGCTGCGACCCAGTGGTGGCAATAGACGAACGTTGCTAATCATAAATTGCAAATCATAAATATATATATGTGTATTACAAGGCACAGATCGAAGAGGAGGAGGAGCAGCTCCTCTCCTCAGATAGTCCATTCAGCCATAGATAGATTCATCTAATACGAATGTGACCTGACCTTGCTTCAATCTCTGTCTAGCTCTCTCTCTCTCTCTCTCTCTCTCTCTATACTTACACGCTCTGTGTCCTGGAATGCGCGCATCAGGAGACGCACCAGATGATGGATGGCGCCGTGCTCCCGCAACGGCGCATGATTGGCCGGGCAGAGGGCCAGATTCCGAATGAGCCCGATGACGGCCTTGATCAGGGGCCAGCGTGATGGAGGATGCAATAGCTTCACAATTACAGACAAACCATAATTGAGACGCACCGCATTCTGGGCGAGCTCCGAGTCGACATGGCGCGAGGTCAGGTGACGCAGAGCACAGACGGCCGGCTCGGTGATCTCCTCGCGATCGCCGGCATTGATGATGGTGCGAACGAGCGCATCGACGCCGCCCACCTGGCAAACGGTCGCCTTGTTGCGCTGATTGTTGCACGTCAAATTCGAGAGAATGCCAGCGGCACAGGTGACCACATTGACATCCGTTGAGCCCAGGACCTGGACGAGCGACTGCAGCAGCGCCTCCAATCCCTCCACCTTGGTGGCCGCATCCGACAGATTGCGCAGCGTCCAAAGACAGTTCTGGACCAGACGCGGCGACATGTTGCCCAAGTGCATGGCCAAGGCCTGCATGCCGCCAGCATCGACGATGGCCGGCTTGTTGCTGGAGCACACCGAGAGCACCTTGAGCACACGCGATGTGGTCCACAAGAGCTTCTCGTAGTCATAGGAGCGCATGATGCGGACCAGCTCATTGGGTCCGCCGGAAGCGAGAATGATCAGCTTGCTCTCCTGGTTGCCGTAGGCCAGAATCTGCAGACAATCGGTGACAATGGCCAAGAACTTGACATTGTTGCGCTGCAAGAGCGTCACCATCTTCTGGAGGCCGCCGGCCAGGCGGACGGCCATCTTGGAGCCGTCCTGGTGCAGCAGAAGATTGTGCAGCGTGGTGATCGCATAGAAGAGCACGCTCTCCACGGGCGAGGAGAGCAGCTTGACGAGAGCGGGTATGCCGCCGCTCTTGAAGATGGCCAACAGGCCCTGGCGATGATGGGACAAATTGTGGAGTGTGCCGACCGCTGCCTTGGTGCTCTCCAGATCGTTGCTATTCGAGATGGCGCGCACAAGGGCGGCCACCATCTGGGGACTGTTCATGATGGCGTGGCGCGAGGCCTCCTTCTTGGACAGCTGATGCACCATCATGGCTGCCTGCGAGACGACCACCTGATCCTCGTCGTTCAACAGCTTGATCAGCTCCGGTATGGCGCGCGTGGCCAGCTCAGCGTCGTCCTGATAGTTGATCAAATTGACGACGGCATGCTTCAGCATCTGCGACGGCTCCGAGAGGCGCTGCACAGCGGTTGGCTGCTGTGGATCAAACTGTGTTGATGGTATCTCGATGCCCTCCTCGAGCGTCTCCGGGAACATGGCGGCGCGTACACGCTGCGACCGCGTCTGGCTCAGCTGTTGATTCATATCGTCCACCTGATCCTGTGTAAAGTTTTGCGGAAATCCGGTGTCCAGATCGAACATAAGCGGATCTCCCTCCATCTCCTCATCCTCCTTGCCGGAGAGCGATGGCACCTGGGTGACGGCGCCCGAGTGTATGCCGGAGTCACCCAAATACGAGTTCTGTTGCCACATCAGTGTCTGCTCCTTGGCGGACACCATGGGCGGCAAATCCGGCGGATTGTATTGATTGTTATGGGACACTGCGAAAGATGATTATGGAGAAGGTATAACCAATTGTTGACAAATTTCAGAAACTTAACTAAAAAGCTAGACTGGCTACACTTAAGACATTATCCTTCGATGGGACGACCCACAACCCTTTCATCCCAGTTCACACACTCTTGCCTCGGATCCCATCAACTCAAGATACTCAAAGATACTCAGCGAGCAAACACATTTTTATTGGATTTGTATTTCCGTTGTGGAAATAGCAAGTGCACTTCATATCTAGGATTAAAGCCCACAGCAAAGCTCTGCCTCTCTCTCTGTCTCCCTCTCTCTCTTCTGTCTGCCTCTCTAATGGGTTAAAGAGCAGCTGAACGCAAAGGCGATGTCTGGCTTCTTGTCGGATTTGAAATGCGACACGATGACAAGCGAAATGTGACAGCAAAAGAGGAAGGAGGAGGAGGAGGAGGCAGGGGAAACAGCAACTGAAATAGGAATAATCTGACAGGATGGGTGCTGCAGGACATTTTTTTGCATATTATAAAAGCGACAGCCCCTTTCAAAATTCGAAAAAAATAAAGAAACCTATATATGTTTTATATATATGTATGTATAAAAATAAAAGACGGAACCATCAGCGTCGTTTGTGTCTCAACGAGCAATCAAAGCCAAAAAGCGCGCTACCAGGACAAATGAGTCAGATCCAAGGGTTGATGCCTCACAGCCGTCTATGTATATAGTCTCTGTGTGTGTGTGTGTGTGTGTTAGCATAGGGCGGTAATCGAGCTCCAAATGCGTTGGGCGTTTTGTTTGCCACTTTGCCTTAATTATGCCTGCTCAGCAATTCGCTTTGTTTTTGAATTTGCGCTATTTATGCGCTGCAACTGGCAGGTCCTTGAGGCCGCCTTGAAGCCTCTATTCATGCATATTTCCCAGATCGATTAAACGCACTTTGTGCCATATTCCCGGGCGGGACGACAAACAAACAAAAAAAGAACGCCCTTCAGTTGAGCCCAACCCACCGAACGACCACTGCTCACTGCGTTGCTCTAATTAAATTTTTGAGCAAAAATCAGAAATAAATCCGAAACGTGCGCCAGCCCAAGTGAAGTAGTAATGGCAAAAAAAAAAAATACATACATACATACATATATGCATGCACGTAAACACACATACATACATGTATACATATGTATATGTAGAAGAGTTAACGAGCGTGTGCGAAGGAGATGGCGTATCGAAACAGCAAGAGAGCACACACGCACACACCCACACCCACACCCACACGGCCCAAACCAAACGAATTGCAAATGAAGTGGCAGCAGCAACAACAAGAACAGCAACATCAGTAGCAGCAGTAGCATGAGAAGCTGTGGTTGAAGCAACAGCAATAACAACTGCCGTTACAAAGCGCAATTTGCAAAGGCAGCAAAAAGAAAACGAAGACGAAAAAAAAACATGTTGAAAGCGCAAAGAACAAAATGAACAAGTTGGCAGGGATGGCCGCACTCAAGCAGAAGGAGAGATGCATTACAGCTCAAAAAAAAAAAAAAAAAGAAGAAATACTGACAAAAGAACATAAACAACAATGGCGTCCGATAGATCCATTCGTTGTTGTTCTTGTTGTTTTTGCTGTAAAAATGCAGTGGAGCGAGCTAGCTCACAGTTTGTTTGCTATATTCAATTACAACAACAACTACGCCTCTACCTCTTTTCCTCTGGCTGTGCCTCTGCCTCTGCAAAATAATCGTTTGTCAATGGCCATTGAGGCGCATTAATGCTGCAGTTCTGCACCGCTCTGCTCTGCTCTGTAAAATAACATTGATTGGGGTCCAGCCCCGCCCAGCCACAAACCTTTTTATACTTTCAATCAGTTGCAATGAAGAAGACAGGGAATGCGAGTGCAAAGTGAATCACTTATGCAATTGAAAAACAAAGAGAATAGTTCTCTAATTATTTCCGCAGGCTTCAGAGAATTTTACAGTTACGCACTATTGCAGCTCATGTGCAATGGAACTAGTTTAAAGATTTGTGAATATTTGAACAGTTTAAAAACGAGTTCAATGTATATTGAAAAAAAAATAAATAAAATAAATAAATAAAACATAGAAGACCAAAACGTTTTGAAACTCTACTATCCACATATAAATTATTCAAGCATTATTTATGTATAGACTTACTTGTACGGTTCTGGGCTGGCATGTAACTCATCTTGGTGATTTAGGCGATTTACACCACACCTAAAAGAAGAAGAATAAATTAAAATGTAGATTAGCATTAGATTTTCCATACAAAGTAGCTTAACATGGGCAAATACTGTAAATACACACGGTTTCTGTACTTTTCCCTCTTTTTAAACCGGCTAGCTACCTGCACGAACATAAACTCTCTATATGTATTTATATTTGTACACCTCTATGTACGTATGTATGTATGTATTTACACATAGTCTTAATCGTTTATATGGCTTTCATTCACAAAATTTCCAGAAAACTTAAGTGCTATTATGATTGTATGAGCATATACAACGTCTGTTTGTATATAATAACATTAACATTGACATACTCTTCGCTTAAAAATTAAGCGTGAGAGCTGCTGCTGACTCAAGTTTCAGAAAGAAACGTGAGATGGAACACTAACTCCCTCAACTCACACTTACATATACATTGACAACAGCAGGTAACAAGAGCATCGTTACTCGTTTCTTTTACTGTATAAGCCAAGCAAAGCACACACACACATACATTCATACATATACACATGTATTGGTACGAACAAACATGTATTTCCGTTTCAAGACGATGCGGCGCAAACAAAATATGCTAAGGTGCATACTTTAGATAGTGCGTACATACATTTGTATGTGCATACAAATGTACAGGCGTATGTGTGTGTGTGCCTGCATGTAGGGCAACAAGCGTAGATTTTGAGAATTACCTGCAATGCGAAGAGCACAGCTAAAAACCTGACGCACTTTAAATACGCAAGTTATAAAGCCAATTTTAATTCAACACGAATCCAATTCTTTTTATTTTCTTTAATAATTCACAGAGAAAAAAAAAAAACAAAATATTTGTATGTAGTCGAGTTTTCACTGCTTTGCCTATTTACTTTTTTTTTGTGGCAAGCCTTGTACTGATTCTAGGCACACGCAACCAAAGAAACGAACGACCAGCACCGAACGAAGCAGACAAGTGACTGGAAAACAGTGAGAACGACGCCGTAGCGGCCGCGTTGCACGCATATACATATATACATTGTGCAGCGAGAGTGAGCGAGATGTATCGGAAAGCAAACAGAGAGAGGGAGCGAGAGAGTGAGAGAGACTGTGTGTACATAAGTACACAAGACAGAAACTCCAATGCAGCTTAACAGTGTTGCCATATGTTGCGATACAAAATGGTCATAAAATACATATTTACATATGTACATTTTCATGGAAATTGTTCTTGCTTGTAATTATTTTTAATGACAATATTTGCAAATCGAATGATATACCTTCAGCAAACAACACTAAAATAAGTATTTCTATATATTCATTTATATGTTTTGGGTACCTATGTATGTATGTATGAATGTCTTATGCTGCGCAGAAAGGTGACAGCTCCCTTGCACGCATACAAACATATATACGCCGTGCACAGCATAGAAATACATGTTTTCTTTATTTTGGCTGTATTTATGAGTTAATTAATAACTAATTTATATCATATTCACACAAGAAATAAATATCATTTGTCTACCTGACTTTGTTTATGTTTATACCAATTTAAACATGGAGACTCCATACATAAATACATACATAGACATCCAACTAACAGTGTTTATGGCTGTATATGTGAATCTACCACACCCCCGCTGCTTACTTGTTTCCCTTGCTCGTAAGCTGCTTTCTTACGTTTCTTTTTACACCAAATTTTCCACATCAACTATCTCCACTTTCAACATTCAAATTAATTAACTTCAACTACTTACCGCGTCAATAGGAATTTAGTCTGCTTAAAAGCAGGGTTTATTTATTTTCTCGCACTTAAATACACGAAAATTACTAAATATTTTCCAGCGAAAACTAAGTATGTGTGTACATAGAAAAGACCTGCAACACCTTCAGCGATACTATCGGTGGATATTGCGACTTTTGTACTTATTATCGATTGCTTAAGTTAATATACTCGATATAATTGTTTTCATCATTTGTTGTTTTTATTTTAAGGATATTTTATAAAAAGTAGTACTTGTTCAATATCAGATACAATAGATTTGAATTTAAGTATGTCTGTATGTTTTTATGTCATGTGTATCCATTCTCAACAATCAAATTGTTTTCTTGTTAATAATTCATATAGAATAATTAACAAAATATTGCGAAATTATTTTTCTTACCGTGTCAGCAACAAAATTCTCCGCTGCGACGCAGGTTTTATACACAAATATACATTTACCTAATGAATAATATTTTATAAACAGATCTGCAGCAAAAACTATTTGTATATATTAGGGTGGCCACAGAACAACTATCGATAGCAATCGCGCACGAATTGTAGTCGATAAATTAAACTGTCGGCAAATCTGCAAAAAAAAAATAAATAAATTAATAACAATATAAAACACAGATGATCAAAAATTTCATACTACTATCTGTTTCTTACTGGGACTTCTAAATATTTCATTTCGATAGCCTTAGCCTATTAGTATGCCTTGCTTAAGATCTATTTCTAATTTGATTCGTCAGCAGTGGCTGCACTTATATTTTCCTGTAAAAATCTTAGAAATGCATCTCGATACCGCTCTATGCCAAGGAATCTATAGATCTGCGAAAATCCAAAGTATGCAACAACAGCAAAAACGAGAAAAGCAATAGCCAAACTTCCAATGCAGGCGAAAAATATCATAAAGACAAACGTCAATAAAGTGCCTGCAATTAAAATCCAATGTTAGCATTAACTGTAGTTAGAGATAGTTTAAAGTATTATTATTAACTACCTTCCAGCACAAGAATGCCTGTAAACGTTATTAACAAGGTAATGAAACCAAATCCAAAAATGATGAGTATAGGCAAAAGGAATACAAAACATGCAGCCAGCAGACAGATCGCCAGATCTGGATGCTGGACCGACCAGGAGATGACAGCTTCGAACAACTCATTGCCGCCTAGTTCGCTCATAATGAAGTACACGACCCGGCGTCCCTGCAGCCCTATGAAAGAAGAGCTTGATTATACAAAAGAAGAGGGAATGTTTTGGCTTATTAAATAGAGTTGACTTACATAGCCTATGCAGTGCTTGGAAGAGGCCTTCTAACAGTTGTTCTAGATTCCAAGCCTTCGAATCCTCATCGGTGCCTTTGCCGTTTGCGTGCGTATTATTTGATTGTGTCTGTTAATAAATGAGGCATTAAAATCGTGGCTAATTAAGCGGCAAATGCCGCTGCAAGGGCAACAAATGTCATAAACTTCGATTTTGCTACTTCAAAGTTCATTTCGTGATTTGCGTGCTTACCATGTTCTCCAGGTGCAGTGTATAATTATAATATTAGTCACAAGCCGCATTTATTTCCCTTTTATATCTCCAGTTGTGGCTTACAAACATTAAAAGGTAAACATTAAAAACAACAGAGCTGCCAACTTGTCCTCGACTGCAGCGCTGCCAGAATTTAGAATTATTTTAAATTTTTCCACAATGTGTTTATGGAATTGAATCAAAGCTTGAAAATATGCAACTGCCAATAATACAGGTCTCCAAATCATAACTAAACAATTTTCCAAAAATTATATATTTTTTTACTTCATCATGGCATGTGATAACTATCTCGTATAAGTAACATATGTTAATGAAGTATGAATTTTAGACCGTTGAAAGGCGGGCGCTCAGTAATTCGGCCCGCTATAATTTGTTCTCCGTGTATTGTCATGCGACAGCGTCGTTTTGGCGCGTGTATGCAATTTAAATATGTGGCAGCTTCTCGACACTGCGACGGTATCCAGCCGTACATCTGTGACTCCAGCAACGGATAATCCGGCGGCGCTTTATGGAATCTGTGGCGGTGCGCCTGCGCCGGCTTCTTTAAAATAGACTGTGGCTCGTATTTGGAATAAAATTTGGAAGTGATTGGATAGACTGAAATGAACAAATATTCATTATTAACTTTTTTGTATAATTAATTGATTTTTAAACTGGCGATGTGCCGTGTGAGCTATTGATGAAATAGCTCATCTTTGCGATCTTTTGAATCAATTATCCAACTAGTTCTGATTTTTAGGTGAACCGATATTTGCTTAGCAGCATTCGCACTGTTTTCGTTCAATTTGGTCAACGAATAAGAGAGGGAGAGTATATGTTTTCGTATTCTCTTCTCGCTTATGTGGAATGGGGAATCGAAACGGCACACAGTTTTAATTGCACTCACTTACAGTCTCAGAGTCACGAAGTCAACCAGAAAATAATTGCAAATCAAAAAATAGCTTATATAATAAAACACATATGTAAATACCTATATTCGGCGGACCAAAGACTTCAGATATGCGTATATGCTTATTTGAATTGTTAATCAATTCCTTTTCAAAGTCGTAGGGCATGGGCCGTGGATCGCCTTCGAAGTGATCGTCCTGATCATCGCCATCCTCGTCGTCCTTGTCACCGCTTTTTGGCTTCATCCGGCCGGGCGAGGATTATGTCTGTGGCGCGTAGCGTGCCGTCGACGTCTGCGATTGGGATTTGTGCTGCAAGGACACCTGTCTTTTCATTTATAAAACTTGAACTCATTAAACTTTTGCCATTCTTATTGTTGTTCTACATAGTTGTTGCTGTTGTTGTTGTTATTGTTTTTCGTACTTGCTACTGTTATTACTGCAGCCCATGACAGGCAATTTCGCCAGTGTACACACGCACCCACAAATATACACCTACATACATATACATATATATAAATATATATTATATATAGACGCATACAAATGGCTACCGGCAGCAGCGGCGTGACCTACATACACACACACGCGCGCAAACATACTTTCTCTGTCTCTCTCACACACAATTCGACGTCAACGTCACAGCTCGTTTTGCTATTTATTATTTGCAATGGGGACAAAGTCGATCATCATCATCATTATCGTTATCGCTATCCATGACTGCAAAAAGTTTTCTCTTTCGCTGGCTGCTTCCACCGTTCATTTCACGTCATTCGCTGTCGTTACGTTTCCGCAAAGCGAAACCGAACGCGAGCCCCTGAAGTATGCAGCAATAGTACGAAAATAAATACATGCAAAGACATGATCGACTGCAGTCTACCCTGTAGCGTAACACACGTGCTGTAGTGTAGGGCGTTTGAGGTTGTTGGATTATTGCCTTTTAAAATTAAACATTAAAAAAGGTGAAATAATGTTTATTTATTTTTGAATTTATTTATTTATTCATTTTATACTTCAACAAATAGCTTTAAAATCGCATAGAGTAGCATTATTTATGTTCTTGTATAAAATATATAAAAAATTATTTTATGCTATACTTAGTTTCAGTTTATTTATACAATTATAATTATGTTGAAATATCTGCTTTATACACTCATATAAATTATATTGAGAATCGCATAGAATTTCGCCATGTGAAAATGCATTTGTAAGGAACTAATTCAAATTCAACCCGATGTTATTTAACTATAAATGTTTATTTAGTGTATAGCCTGCACATACCCCATTTGCATTATGTGCAGGGTATTGTAAATGGCGTTGCGTGCCGTCGCCTCAGCCGAGCTGGAAGGCAGAAGGAAACCTGACGCTTGAAGGAATCGAAAGCGGACGCCCGCAACGGGAGCCAGGCGCCGGGCCGCTGCCCCAGAGGATTGTGCAATCCCTTGGGCTTAATCGAAGACATTAAATACACCGATTTAATCGGAAATAAAGTCAACAGTCAATCAGAATTAATTACGGCCCGAGTAAACAAGCCCGGCCGAAGCAACGAATGGGTGGGAGGAAGGAATGGAACTAGGCTGACGTCTACAGAACTATTAATAAATTATATAAGAGCTTTAACTAATTCCAGACAACAGCTGAATATGCACTTAACCGTATATATGTATATATATCTGACTCTATATATGTACATATATATACATATTTGGACTTATGTATAATGGCTAATTATCTACAGGATCAGTCAACAGATCAGATCAGATCGCATCCGGATAGAATTCACGGTAGGCAAACGCCTCGATATATTCCGGCCGGCGACAGCTGAAGAGCTCGTAGGACAGCTGCTTGTGGGCGTGCTTCTCGAGAGATTTGCGCGTCTTCTCCAGAAGCACGGCCTCATCGAATTTGATGCGTTTCACGGTCGTTTTCCGTAGGATATTCTGGACCAGTTGCGACCACACGGAGCCCTCATCATCGGACGGGGGCTCCTGTTGCTGCTGCTGCTGTTGCTGTTCCTGCTGTTGCTTCTCCTGCTGCTTCTCTGCGAGGTCTGCTGTTGCTGCATCGGTGGGTGTGGCAGTCTTTTCTATGGGCGGCATTGGCACTGGCCGCGGCGTCGTTGGCTCCGTCTTGACCGTCTTCAGATCCTGCATAATCGTCTGCAGCCGATCCACCGTCTCGGACATTCGCTTCCGGAAGTCCACAATGCGTCGCGTATACATGAACAGCTCCTGTAGCTCCGGCTTCCTCTGCTCCACGGCTCCAACCGGCGCAGGCTGCTGCTGCTGCTGCTGCTCCTTGATGGCAACGTGCAGCGTGCGCAGCTCCTCGTCGCTGAGCAGCGGGTGGAACTGCTGCAGCTGCGCCTCGTTGGTGCCCGCCAGATAGACGCGATGCATGAACTGCTGCATGGCCGTCGTATTCAGCATGGCCAGTTCATAGTCCAGACGCGACGCCTCAATGGCATTGCGGATCTGCTCCACGTCGCTGCCGTTGATTGCGGCGAGCTGCTCCTCCTGTTGCAGCTGCTCGAAGTGATCGAGCGTGTCCAGTATGTTGGCCAGGTAGTTGCGCATCATCTCGCTCTCCGGCTCGACCTTGAGCAGGCCCAGGCGGCGAATCAGTCGCACATTCGCTGCAAACTGTTGCTCCAGCTCGAAGAGCTGCCAGAGCGAGCGCATCTGGCTCTCGTACTCCTTCTGGGCGGCAATGCCCAGGACGCTGCTGATGTTGCCGTCGAAGAGCTGCAGACCCCGTATAAAGGCCACATCCATGGTGAAGTTGCTCATGAAGCTGGAGACATAGTTGAGCGCCTCCTGCGCTGTGGCGAAGTGCTCGCGCCGCTGCCCAAAGAAGTCGTCCAGATCCGTGACGGTCAACTGATTGCGTTCGATGGTGCTGCTCTGATCCGTCCGATTGAGTTCGCGCTCCTCACGTATCCGCTCGAAATTGCTGACCAGCACATCCGCCGCCGGCTGCTGGAACTCATCGAACACCTCGATGTCCACGGCCATGGTTGGGGCATTGGGGGCGGTGCTGCTGCTGCTGCTGCTAGTGCTGGGGCCAGGTGGTGCCTTGCTCGCCGCCCCGCCGCCCGGTCTGGACGACTGGCACTGCGGCTTCCATTTCTCCTGCGCGGCCAGGCGCTGTTTGCTGCTGCGCTCGGCGAGGGCACGCGGCGTGAACGCGGACAGATCGAGCATTGTGAATATGTCGTCCTTGGCATTGTGACAGCAGTGCAGCGCCGACATGTCCATGGGATGGGCCTCCGTATTGAAGATATAGGCGCCCGCCTGCACCACGCACACATTCTGCTCCGTGTCCAGCAGCTCGCCGTGGGCATCGTCGCCGGCATTGTGCAGGAAGTTGTCCTCGTCGAACAGCAGATACAGATACTTGGTGGTCTCGGCCAGGAAGAAGGACTCCATGCGATTCTCCTTCTCGTGGGTGACCACATTGCGTATCTAACGGGAGGGGGAATGAGTTGCAGTGGGGGAATCTCAATCTCAAGTCTTACCGTCGCATAGCCGCACTTGGTCTTCGCACTGAACTCGATCGTCTCCAGCATGTGCTCGCCCAGCTCGAGCAGATACTGGTTCTTGGTGGCCCGGTAGAGGTACATGGCCGACTCGATGAGCTCGGGCCGCAGGGGATAGACCTCGCGATTGGGCGCCGCTTCGCCGGCTGGAATGTTAAAGAATTCGGGGAGGAAGCCGTACTTCTTCCACACGCTAATGTAGCGCATCATCGTGCGCATGGCGGACTCTGTGTCGCCCACGATGCTCAGTACGCCCGGCCAGAAGGACTCGAGCGATTGGAAGACGGGCAGCGTCACCTGGCCCTTGTTCATGCCCACCCACACATACCAATCGTCCTTCCGCATGTACTTGTCAATGGGCGTCCGCGCCTCGGCGAACAGCTCCAGCAGCTCGGGGCGATTCAGCAGGATGGCCCCCTTGACCAGATACTCGAATAGGGAATCGACGCCGGCGCCGATGCCCGAGTCCAGAGCCGTCCAACGTCCGCTCTGCACATCGATGTGATTGCCAAAGAGTCCAATGGACGAGCGTCGCTCCCAGAGCGCATAGATCGCTTGGAGTGCCACCTCCTCGTAGATGCTCTTGCCCGTGAGCCGGCTCAGAGTGCCGAACTCCACCAGAAAGGTGCCCACGCCCGCCGTACAAGTGACGGAGGTCTCGCCATTGGGCACGCCGTACCGCAGATTGACCGTGCCGTACGGCATGCCCGTGTTCGTGTCGAAGGCTGGCAACAGACGCCGCGCCACATCCTCGGCCATGCGCAGCAGTGGCCCGGCGCAGGGCCAGCCCGGCTCGACATCAATGCCGGCGCGACGCGACAGAAGATGCGCTGACAGCAAGCCGCCAACAATGCGGATGTTCGTCTCGAACACCGACACGTTGATGTCCTTGTTGAAGTTCATCTTCTCGATCAGCGCATGGACGCGACGAAACTCCGTGAAGTTGCCCATGGTGGCCAGCGTGTCCAGGGCATCAATCAGGGTCAGCGAATAGCTGCCCCACGTATCGTGGCCATCGCAGGTGAGCGGACGCAGCTCATCATAGTTGCCGGCGTACTTGAGATAGCCGTCGTAGGCATGCTGGAACATGCGGCGCACATCCTCCCTGCACACATCATATACATAAATTCAAAAATCATATATTAATAAATATAACTCCTACCGCAGCTCCAATTTTCGCGAGCGTGAATAATGCTTCTGCCCAACGAGCTGTTTGGCGAGGCTGAGTAGGATACACAGAATACCGATGATCTGCAGGGCTTTACAAACTTTTTGCATATTTTAAGAGATTTGTTCCAATCAATCCATGTGTCCCTAATTAAATTACGAGCATTGTCAAGTCCACATCGCTCGCGGAATTAACGAGTGCGATTTGCGGTTCTGGCTACGTAGCCGCAAAACAAAAATCAGCTGTTGGCGCTGTCAAATGGTGTATGCGTGTATTCGAGAAGCAAAAATATCGATGCTTAAACTGATCAGAATGATATATCGATGAGGTACATGTTCCACAAAAATACCAGTGAAACGGTCATTCCATCAAAATAAACGGTTCTTCAATTTAAAAAAGAAAATGTTATGAAGAAGATTATTAGCCAAATCTTAAATGTCCTAAGTTCATGTTTAACACGAAAGTAAAATGGCATAAAAAAAACTCAAGCTATACTACAAATATGTCTCATATGTTAACAATCACAAAAAAATAAGCTTTAGCGTTTTAAGTTTCAAGCAGGTCTCACAAAAACTCAATCCAATTGGAAAATATTATTTTCACAATAATAAATTAGAACAAACAAGTGAATGTGCAGTATTTTTTAGTCGATAATTGAAAATATCTAAAAGTCAAATATCGATAGCTCAGTCGAAACTCGCCCATTTAAAATATGCCATCGGTTCGATTAATAACAAAGAAAAGTCAAATCTCAAAAAAATTACAAACAGCAAAATGAAACAGAGTTCCTTATGTATGTACTTAATGAGCAATCTAGTCAGTTTTACATTAATTTTGACCTTCCCCAAATGCAGCCATATTTGCCGAAGACATTCTAAAGGACTATGGCACATATATGGAGCAACATGATAGCAAAATGCAATTGTTACGAAAACAAATGCTCAACAATGGCACAGAAGAGCAATTGCTGACATCAGTGGTGCCGGCTATTGAGATTAAGTACATAGAGAATGATAGCATAAATGGACTCATGAACCTGCGACTCACTGAGCCAGAGCTGCTGGCCAACAAACCGCTCACAACGTTGTCCAATTTGTGCAATCAGTGCAACGACTTAACGCAAATCGCACAACAATTGCAATTGAAGTTCCTGAGCACGAGCAACCAGATAGAGACTCTCCAAATTTCACTGGGCTTAAGTCCGAACATGGGCCTCGAGCACATACTGTGTAAAATGAGTTCAGCCATTGATTTCTTCTGTCAGGTGCATTTTATGCTCAAGCGAGCGATTACTGTGCTCCAAAATATTTGGACGCAAATCACAAGCTATGCGTCCATCGCTACCGATATACAGGAGGCGCATCTGTTTGTAAGTATCGCAGGATATAACGGTAAATGAACGGCACTGTATTTGTATATTTTTGTGCAGAGCATCTTTGATGCAATGGCCGAGCTGCTGCAGCACATTTTGATCTTTAACGAGATCACCGAGCAGTCGAATCTATCGAACAAATGGAGCTTCTACAGGAAATGGCTGCAGACGTTGGCCAAGAGCAGCGAGACATTTGAGCGTTGCAGCCGCTTCGAACTGAATGGCCTGGAGACATCGCTCAATGATATAGAAAATGTGATAACTGGCAATATCTTTCGGGTAAACTAGGAAGGCCATATCAAATAGGTGCAGTTCAACTAAATTGTCCTATTCCATAGATATTCCTGCACAGCTTGCTGGAGACCAAGCGACAACTGAATCTGAAGGATGCCAATGTTAATTATATAACGCAACATTCCAATGCGTATATACGCAAGCTGATGAGCTGCCTGGAGGCGAATCAGGCGCACGACTTTAAGCACTACGAGGATCCCAAGCATTTGCTGCGACTAACTGCATTTATTTGCGTGCTGCATCAGCTGGGCATCCTGCTCGATGGCAAGCTGCTGAAGAACGCCCTGGACACGCTGGTGCGCTATCAGCGTGTGTCCTTGGAACGAAACGTCTATTGGTCGCCGCAGGCATTCATCGCCAAGCACGCGAAGACGCTGCTCAAGGCGCCGGACAAGCCACAGGACAACCTTAAGCAATATCTGGCCGCAGTGGAGCGCATAAATGGCATCGATTTCAAGAGCTGCCGCCAACTGGGCACCCAACTGGCCCTGTGGTCGATCAGCATGCAAAGGTTTTTCACGACCGGCTCCTTTGGCCAGCTGAAGACCTTCTCCAAGCTGATCACCCAGGGCCAAGGCTATGCGAACCAGGTGAATGCCCTCATCGACGGCCTCATCAAGCGGCATTTGACCCTGAATCTGCCCGTAGGCAAGGCCACCCTCTTCACGATCTGTAAACTGATGCAATACTTGCAAGTGCTGCAGAAAACCTTCGCCGACAATCAAATATTGTGCATACGCTTCATGAGCAGCCTGCTGCAGTGGCAAAAGCAAAAGATTCAGCATCTCCTCATGCTGACCAAGAAGAGTATTGTGGACCTCAAGCTAATGCAGAAGAAGATCAGCATTTTGACAACCCTGAAATTGTCGGAGAAGTCCATCAAGGGTTATCCCAACAAGCGGCAGCTGAACATGGTGAATCTGGCGCTCAGCGAATATCTGGACAAGGATCGCACACTGCCCGCCGACAAGCAGAAGCTGCTCAAGTCCATTTCGCTGCGCACCCACAATCTCTGTCGCCTGCAAAGGAATATGCTGGGCCAGTTCGATGCGACGCAGCTGATCAGCAATTACGATGCGTTGGCGCTGACCTACGCAGCCGGGCTCAAGGAGTATGTGCAGCAGCAGCATAATCCCTATCAACTGCAGGTAGGATCTCAGCGATCTCCTATCGATCCTCGACTAATGCACATTCGTCCAAAATTAGAATTTCTTTGCAGCCAGCAGCCAATTGGACAAAAATCTCGGCTTATTCCAGTTCAACAATGGGAACGGCCTGAAGACCACACAGAAATTACTGGACTGCGAGCGGGACTTCCTGTCCAATCATCTGGAATATCTGCTGCGTGTCGAGGCGCTGTCACATCTGTTCCTCAGTCAGGAGCATCCGTTCACACAAACAACGATCGACTACAGGAACTGCATCAAAGTGCCGGCAACAGAAGTGAACGGCGCTTATAACATACTAAAAGGTTTACAATTACTATAGTGTATATGTATATATGTATGTGGAGAGTTACTTACCTTGTCTTACTGTTAGATAACCTGGAGAACTATTTTACGGCCACGTTCTATAATTTAACAACGATTGCGCCTCACGATTGGAAGTCATATGAGAAGATGCGTCATCTCGCCAATAAATTACTGCAACTGCGGCCTGTCGACGACTATTTGCCCAATCAGATAATTGATCAGGTACAGTAACTAAATATATATTGTAAAACATTTTGGATAAGAGCTGAAAAACGATGTAAATCTTATCCGTAACTGGCCTACAATTTAGGATATGTTTATCCGAAATATTTATTTACTACTACACAAAATTTGTATAAAGACCATATAGGCATATTCGTTATACATATATAGAATATAAATCTTTTTATCCGAGCCATTTGTATAAGACCATCAAATTGTTATCCATATTAGGCATATTCGTTATTAATATACACATATACAATTTAAATCTTTTTATCCGAGCCATTTGAGACTGTGCTCTTCAGCTGTTTAAGTAGTTTTAGACTATCAAACATGTATGCAGAATGCATTACTATTATCCATACTGCAAACTATTGTCAATTTATAATAGCTGTTTATTATTATCAAATCTATTCAGACTGCATAGTTCTTATCCAAATTCGTATCCATGCATATAAGATATAATTTTATTAACTTTGACTTTACTTTATTTTACTTAGGGCATTGACGTCCTTCAGATAATGCGCAATATCCACACATTCGCCTCCTCATACGCCTACAATATGAATTTGCAACTGTTTGTGGAGATGCAGAGTCGGAACAAGCATTTGGATATAATTGGAACGCGTCATGTGGCCAATTCGGTGCAGACCCATGGCACGGGTATTATAAATACGACCGTGAACTTCATCTATCAGTTCTTGCGCCAGAAGTTCTATACGTTCTCAACGTTCTTGCACGATGAGCATATTAAGTCGCGGCTCCTAAAGGAATATCGCTATCATGCCGAGCAGAAGCATAAGAAACCCTACCAATCGTATCCTTACGAGAGGGCCGAGAGCTTCATCAAGAAAATACGCAAACTGGGCGTGTCCAGCAATGGCGAGACGTATATGGATCTCTTTAGGAAGGTTATAACACAAGTTGGTATGTTTTCAATAGATATCTAAAGCCATATTTATTATCCCATATTATCCGGCTATAGGCAATGCCGTGGGCTATGTACGTCTACTGCAATCGGGCAGCAAAAACGCCAACTTTAGGAGCCGCTCCTTTATGTCCAGATTCCACAGCAACTTTATGCGCGGCGAGCCCAAAGACTTGGACCCAACGACCATGGGCTCCATCAGGGAATACGAGAAGAGTGTGGAGCATCTCAAAGAATGCTATTCGGATTGCACCAACTACTTTAAGGTACACCTACTGCTACTCCAATTCCTTTAGGATTATTCCTAATTATTGGATTACTTTCACAGCTATTGATGCAAGGATTCCAGCCATTCCTTTGTAATCCACACAATCATCACCTGCGCACATTCTTTCTGATCGCGCCCGCTCTGATCATGAACTACATCGACTATCGGGTCAAGGAGAAACTGAAAATGTACAAAAAGGATCAGTTAAAGTGTACGCTATTCGAGGATGGCTTTGCCATCGGCCTCGTCTACATTCTCAACATGCTGAATCAGCTGGGCGATTTCCATGAGCTCGGCTGGCAACTGACGACCACACATCAACTAAATGCCGAACGCTTAAAGCTCAAGAATACGCTGGCCACACAAGCCGGCAGTTCCACACACCCAACGGCCACCGACGAGAAGCTACTCCAAACTGTCGCCATCACCGAGAGGCACGTGAATGCCTTTGAGCAGGAATACAATTTACTCTATGCCACCTTGAGCAGTGCCGAAATCTTTTTTCAATAGAGCCCCATGTTGGAGCTTGAGCTGAAGATCAAGTTTAGTATTTGTTACGACTTTAAAAGATATATATATACATATTATTACATATATTGAATTTTTTTAACTTTACACGAGCTCAGCTCAGTTTTATGTTTATGTATTTAAAAATCAACAAAATATTAATGAAATTTATCAAATTATTGAAAGTAAAAAATCTTGTGCTTGTGATATTTTTGGAACAAGATTCCCAGATTGTGGAACCCATCTCTCATAATGTTTGTAAAATAAATCGAGTAAAAAAAATTATATGACTTCAGATTTATTTGGAATAAAAGTCCTTTTAGATTTGGTTATATTTTTTATTTTCCTTTTCTAATTTCACTTTATTAAGACGAAATTATAAATTTGACGTTTGGTAAAATTGAGTTTCAAAAAACATTTGTTATCCATATATGTATGTATATGTTAGCTGGTTTAACTTGTTGTTAGACTACATGTTAGGGTTAGTTATTACTGAGGGCACTTCATGCTAATGCAAGTTCTTCAAATCGTGTCAAATCACAAAGGGTATATATGTATGTATATATAGGTAAATGCATGAAAAATACAACAACTGGACACGAAGGTCGCGTGCTTGTGAGTCAACGACGCACACAAAGTCCTTCGAGTGCGCATACAATATTTAGATATTACGATAGAATTTTCATAGCGTTACACTTAGGATTAAACACAAATAGTACAAAGTGCTTGAATTCAACATTCAATTTAGATCTCATATGATAGTCACGCCAATTGGGTTAGTTTCACTTTTTGCTTCTCATTATACTTTTCTCTTTTTTGTTTCTAGTTAGTCTGTTTAGAATCGTTTTGGTACCGCATAGTGCTGGTATTACAATCAGACGCTTAGGGTACGCTATTGTGCGATTCTATCTTGCATTGACAATGTTTACCTGAAAAGTTGCCCCTTATATTATATGTAATATATATATTCATACATATGCATATTGATTGATAACATAAAATGTCTATTGAAAATATGTTGTGTATTTCATATTATTACAGTAATTGGTAAAAAAAAATTGGAGAAAATGCAAACGGACTTTCGTCTTAACAAAATATTCATCTTAAAGTGCACCACAGTCCTCAACCACAATTTTCTTTGTGGTCTTGCCAGACTGCGAGCCGTACGACTCGATCTTCTTGACGACATCCAGGCCCTCGACGACCTCGCCGAAGACGACATGCTTGTTGTCCAGCCAAGCGGTCTTCACGGTGCAAATGAAGAACTGGGAGCCATTGGTGTTGGCACCAGCGTTCGCCATGGACAGGATGCCGGGGCCGGTGTGCTTCAGCCGGAAGTTCTCATCGGGGAACTTGTTGCCATAGATGGACTTGCCGCCAGTGCCATTGTGGTTGGTGAAATCGCCGCCCTGGCACATGAAGTTTGGAATGACGCGATGGAAACTGGAGCCCTTGTAACCAAAGCCCTTCTCGCCAGTGCACAGAGCACGGAAATTCTCCGCTGTCTTCGGCACGACGTCAGAGCGCAGCTAGAAAATTGAAATCGAAATAAAGAATAAATAAATCAAATTAGACAAGTGCCAAATTAAATCAAATGCATGCACATATGTATTTATAAATATGTAAATATGTATGTATATACATATGTACATACAATGTGTACAATGACCGGAAAATTACCAAAACTACATGTATGCACATACACACACACTCTCTCGCTCTCTCACTCTCACACAGTCACATACGGCAAATTAATTGCAGCGGAGAGTTGGCGCGTGGAATGTCACTGAAACTGCTTATTGTCTAAATGCTAAAATATATATTTTAAAAATGAAATTGACGTAAGCCAATTACATCATCAAAATAAAATCATTTCTTTCTATCAACTTTGTTCGTCAAAGTCAAACGGGTTTACTGTATTCTTACACACACACACATATGCATGTATCGCATGACATACAAGCAGCTTTTCTACGTTTAGAAATTGAGGTTATGTTTGCCTGTATTGATTTGTGTGTACATCCTCATGTATGTACAAATGCCGGCATTTTTGTCACTTTTTTTTGCTTGTATTAACTTAGAAAAAAAAAGGTGATATGAGCTGCATTACTTGGCATATATTCAACTCGGCAACTAAAAATATAAGCGGTGAACTTTAATTGTGCTATCTCAACACATACACGCCCATTTAGCCCGGTGTGTGTGTATACATACATATGTACATGCGGATGTACATGAATGCATGCATTTTTTTTATTGAAAGGTATGTGTATGTACTTGTGTATACACAAACTCAAAGGTGGCTAAACGGTAATTGCCACTTAAGTCATAGACACACACACACATATATGCATAGACAAATATGCACTTGTGTATTTAATGTAATTAGTTTCAGTATGTGAGTACGAAAGGACATAGTATGACTACAATATAAAGAGTTAATCACGTGTCTTTTCTCTTTCTCTCTCGTGCAAACATACTGTAAACTTTGTAAAAGAAAATGAGTATGTACACAAAATACATGCATACATGCATGTACACGTACACACGTGTAGACTAAATATGTATACACATACATATATAAGTATGTTAAATTACTGCAATAAGTTAACAGTTTATTGTCAAATTGCAAATAAAGATGTAAAATAGAGAAACCGGCAAAATTAGTAAACTCACCTCCATTACTATCCTACCGACGGGCTCGCCATCGGCGGTCATATCGAAGAATACTCGCGGTAAAGTACTCATTTTGGACTGCTTCGAATATTCGCGAACAAACTGAATACCAAATTGCAACTGACCTCTGTTACTGGCAATTCGAGCTGGGGTTATAGATTTCTGAGGTAAAATGGCGGACCCAGCTAACCGAAGTGCCGACGACTTGTGAATGTTACGAAGCAGAGTTGCACCTAAAAATACCATCGTGTAAGTGTGCCCGCTTGTCTATCACTAAAGTACACGAGGCACTTGGAACCGTTTCTTAGTCATTTCATTCCATCATCCGTTGTTATATCACAATAACGAGGGTGAAAACATTTGAACCAGTCTGGTTCCGCGATCATTGTCTTGCGCAAATTGCATGCGATATATTTTCGAATATATTTGAAAAATAAAAAAAATTGAATACAATGTCTTATTTGTTAACAAAGATATCAATATGGTATCCCCATATTATTTCTTTTTACTGCAAATTCAAACAATACGGATTGAATAGGTGGCTGAATCGCTATCGAAATTCAAACTTATTAGATTTTATCGAAAGTAAAAGTTAAAAACAAATACAAGTTCTGTAATGGAAATGTTTCTTAAAGCTCGCAGCATTTCAATCTTTAATATATACAATATATTTTTAAAATCAAAATATTGCGATAAGTAGTTCTATAGCACTGACCAATTGAACGCACTACAGCTTTTGCTATCGATATTTGTATATCGGGGCTTTAATTCACTTGATAGTGTTATCGACTCTAATGGAAATAATGCAAGACAGCCGGCGGCAAAAAAAAAAACGCTCCTTAGGGTTGTAACAAATTTTTATTTCACCTCCGGGTTTCCCCTAAATGTTATTCTATCTGTTTAATTTTAGTAATATACACATACATTCTTCAATTGGCCAAAGTTAGCCAAATTAAAAAAGGCCATCTGTGTATTTCAAATTGTTTGTATTTTATTTATAATTTTTCACTTAATACAAAAAATACTCTTAATTTCCTCTTCTCATATTCTTATATCTTTTTTTTTTTTAGTTTTTTCCTTGTTATGGTATTAAATAAAAATTAAAAGCAAACAAAATGGCAACTTGCGCCAGGGAGCCAAAATAATAAAGCAAATTAAAATAAAGATTAAAAAAAAAAACTAAACAATAATATTGATTGCCTACATAGAAAAGCTCCTTGCTGAAATAAAGAACAAAAATGAAAATATCTAATAAAAAGGAATTGTCAGGGAGAGGCGAGGTGGCGGGTTTCTGGGAGGACTCAAAAAACGTTCTGGGTTTGAATAGCTTTCACAGCTGTATTAAATACATACACATGTATGTGTAATGCCAATGTATATCAAATACATACATATACAGATATATATATGGTAAATTAATTAATTAATTAAACAATACGTACACGCAGGCGGGCAATTAAGTTAAAAATACACAAAGTCAAATGTAAATTAAAATTTTAAGAAAGGCAACGGTGGCTGCTTACAAAACTCGCGTTTATATAATATATTATAGTTATGTGGTATACATTTATATATTACATAAGTATATATATATATACATATACATATACATTTATGTTTTTGTTTTCCTTTTCGTATGGTTGTCATTCAGAAGTTGTTCTCTATATAAAGTAGCTGATATATATAGTAGATATAGTTGTAAAGTTGTCAAAAAAAAAATAAAAGTTTAAAATAATAATAACTGTGCATGGCTCTAGAAAACTTTACTCCGAAATATCAATTGGAATGGATGTGGTAAACGTGGGCGTCTCCAGCTCCTCGTGCTTCTTCATTTTGAGACTCTGCAGAGAGAGAGAGAGAGAGAGAGAGAGAGAGAGGATACTTTAGTTACAGTGCCTAGCCAAAGTATTCATCCACTCACCTGTTGCAGCTTATAGTGATTTATAATGTCCTGATCGGCTGGGCATGATTGTGTGAATGCGTCCAGCTGATACATATGGTACATGTATCGCCACAGCGCCGTCAAATGTGTCTGCACGAAAGCGAAAGAGACAGACAGAGAGAGAGGGTTAGCAGGTGTAATAGATAATAACTAGAGTTTTAGCCACTTACCGGTATCTCAAAGTCAACAAAGTATTTGCCAGCGACGCGAATGTGCTGCAGGCGCGGCATCAGCTCACAGTCGAAGCAGCACATGGTGTCGCCCGTCAGGAAGCGAGTGTTGCGATTGGCCAAATGATCGTTGATCTTGCGCAGATGGGTGAGCAGCGCATTGTTCTTGGCCTCGTCCTTCTTCACCAGCATCAGCTTCAATTTCACATACAAATTCTCAATGAGCGTCGCCACCTCCTTGTCCTGCACGAACAGATTGTAGCCGCCGGGTATATGCTTCATAATGTGCCGCTCGATCTTCTCGTTCTCCAATATGGCCAAGCCGTTGTCAATCAGGATCGGCGGATGCGTCGCCTCGAAGTTGGTGCGGAAATCTGGCGGCGGTTTCTGCATGTCCACTGTGGTCACCTTCAGACTGATTGTCTTCAGCTCGGCCAGCAGATACAGATCCATGAAGTACTCCTGACAGAACAGGCAGGCGCCCTTGCGACGTCCATCAATGGTGGAGGCCTAGTAAACGATAATTAATTAATTTATATCAACATTAATTGGGTCAAGTATCGTTTTATATAAATATGTGCACGCACACACACACGCGTATAAATTATCTACAATAAATGGCGATCGCGTGCCAGGCGTTTAGCAAACAAATAAATCAAATTCATTTTAATGAAATAAGTCAACGTACAGTGGCCGCTCGATAAAGTCAACAACAAAGCACGGCACACTGTTCAAAATAAACCAGTATAATAAATTTATATTGTTTGCATATTTTCAAGAGACGAAACACATTGGGATTCTTATGATGAATTTTGTTTAATCTTTAGTTTGGTATATTTAGTTTTGGTATTTTTTAATGTATTTAATTATTTATAATTTATTATTTGAACTCATTTTTGTATACTTTTATATTCTATTTATTTTATTTTATTTTTTTTTTTTCAATGGGAGTTGGTATTTATAGATATGTACATAAATGTATTTTTTTAAATCATATCTCCTTTTATTTCAATTTTTTGATTATTTTTATAGTTTTTTGTTTGACTTTTGATTATTTTTATAATTCGCAATTTGATTTTCGATTATTTTCATAGTTTTTTATTTATTTATTATTATTATCACATCGTTAGTTCGTCAATTGCTGTTTGCATTTTTGTTTGATTTAATCATGTGACATCATCATTCATAATATCGTTTTGCGTGATGAATTGTTGGCGCATGATATATGCACACACACACACATACACACAATATGTAAACACATATATATGTGTGTGTGTGTGTGTGTGTGTGTGTGTGTGTGTGTGTGTGTGTGTGTGT